GCAACAGCTCTGATTTCTTTATTCCAGTTTTCTCAGTACCTGTGTTTTAAAACATACATACATTGTGGCAGCAGGCAGGTAAAAACGTCTGGGTGTAGCCAGGATGGCAGAGATGTATGTCTCAGGCTCAGGCATTATACTGAGGGTTTCCTCCAGGAGGAAGTAGTGAGAGGATTGGATGCTTGGAGGTAACAAGCCCAGATGAAGCAAGCTGGCTTGTTAGGACCTCTACAAGCTCCTAGCTGTTAGTCAGTAGTTAGTCTATAGTAAGTTGCCAAAGTGGCAAGGATTTAATTTCCTGTTTTTTTGGTTGTGCTGTTGTTTTGAGCTAGTAAGAGAGTGCATGTGTGATTTTCACCAAAAGTCTTTGCCGGCTGTGGATGTTTTTCTGTGTGGAATACTCATCCAGGGAGTCACACACACCCGTTGCCAAGCTACTACCGAGCTACTACCCTCATAGCATATATAATAAAATAATATATAAAAACATATACGCTGTATATATATTTACACACAAGCACACACTATAATACATATATTATACATAATAATCTTATACATGAACATGTGACCATCCAACATAGACATAGAAGTTGCTGTTTTGATAAAATGATCCACCATCCATATTTCACCTTCTGTCCTCATCTTTAGAATATTATCCTGACATGTGACAAATGTAACCATGGATTATGAAAAATGTGCATTGATGGCGGCATCTGGACCAGGATGGAAACAGTTTATTTCAGCGGAAAGTTATAGGAGCAAGGAAGTATCAGGACAGGCAATCAGTTCGAGACATTCAAGTAGGAGAGCTTTTGGACGATCTTTTAGAAGATGATAGAACAGGAAGAGGTTGAGTCCACCCAAAATTGATATTCCACTGTCAGATGCAGGAACTTTACCCTTATCTTCAAAATAACAACAAAGGCACCTTTAGAAATGTGTAGTAATGATTATGGAACATACCCTCTGATAGGATGCTATGGGCAACAGCTCTGATTTCTTTATTCCAGTTTTCTCAGTACCTGTGTTTTAAAACATACATACATTGTGGCAGCAGGCAGGTAAAAACGTCTGGGTGTAGCCAGGATGGCAGAGATGTATGTCTCAGGCTCAGGCATTATACTGAGGGTTTCCTCCAGGAGGAAGTAGTGAGAGGATTGGATGCTTGGAGGTAACAAGCCCAGATGAAGCAAGCTGGCTTGTTAGGACCTCTACAAGCTCCTAGCTGTTAGTCAGTAGTTAGTCTATAGTAAGTTGCCAAAGTGGCAAGGATTTAATTTCCTGTTTTTTTGGTTGTGCTGTTGTTTTGAGCTAGTAAGAGAGTGCATGTGTGATTTTCACCAAAAGTCTTTGCCGGCTGTGGATGTTTTTCTGTGTGGAATACTCATCCAGGGAGTCACACACACCCGTTGCCAAGCTACTACCGAGCTACTACCCTCATAGCATATATAATAAAATAATATATAAAAACATATACGCTGTATATATATTTACACACAAGCACACACTATAATACATATATTATACATAATAATCTTATACATGAACATGTGACCATCCAACATAGACATAGAAGTTGCTGTTTTGATAAAATGATCCACCATCCATATTTCACCTTCTGTCCTCATCTTTAGAATATTATCCTGACATGTGACAAATGTAACCATGGATTATGAAAAATGTGCATTGATGGCGGCATCTGGACCAGGATGGAAACAGTTTATTTCAGCGGAAAGTTATAGGAGCAAGGAAGTATCAGGACAGGCAATCAGTTCGAGACATTCAAGTAGGAGAGCTTTTGGACGATCTTTTAGAAGATGATAGAACAGGAAGAGGTTGAGTCCACCCAAAATTGATATTCCACTGTCAGATGCAGGAACTTTACCCTTATCTTCAAAATAACAACAAAGGCACCTTTAGAAATGTGTAGTAATGACAATCTACAAACACATACTTCTAGATAATTGCAATCTTTTTATTCTCTGCATACTGTGTTTTTCCTTTTCTCCCCAGTCTTTTCACAGTGGCCATTTTACTAAGAGCAGATTAATCCATCTCCCTTTACCTCCTGGAACTCTGGCACACGTGACTAGGACATGTGACCATGCACATCATCTCAGGGGAGGAAAATGCCTTTCCCTGAGATCTTGCGAGATTACAGATGGGATTTTCCAGCACTGCTCTGCTGATGTAACCTTCCCAGGATGCAACGCCTGGGCACAGATTACATCACTTTTGCCAAAGAGGACCAGGAAGTAGAAAACAAGAAATTGTAAGTAAATTGAAAATATGTTTGTTTAACTAATGAATGTAAGATGATTTTATATCAGGATGCAGAGCTGTATGCTGATGTGATTTTTAGTCAAAGGGGGTAAAGGTCCACTGAGTGTTGAGTCACCTACTGGCTGCTTGGGGACTCCAATGGTGAGAATATTTGTTTTCTTTATAGTGTGCTTTGGGAGTCACACACACCCGTTGCCAAGCTACTACCGAGCTACTACCCTCATAGCATATATAATAAAATAATATATAAAAACATATACGCTGTATATATATTTACACACAAGCACACACTATAATACATATATTATACATAATAATCTTATACATGAACATGTGACCATCCAACATAGACATAGAAGTTGCTGTTTTGATAAAATGATCCACCATCCATATTTCACCTTCTGTCCTCATCTTTAGAATATTATCCTGACATGTGACAAATGTAACCATGGATTATGAAAAATGTGCATTGATGGCGGCATCTGGACCAGGATGGAAACAGTTTATTTCAGCGGAAAGTTATAGGAGCAAGGAAGTATCAGGACAGGCAATCAGTTCGAGACATTCAAGTAGGAGAGCTTTTGGACGATCTTTTAGAAGATGATAGAACAGGAAGAGGTTGAGTCCACCCAAAATTGATATTCCACTGTCAGATGCAGGAACTTTACCCTTATCTTCAAAATAACAACAAAGGCACCTTTAGAAATGTGTAGTAATGACAATCTACAAACACATACTTCTAGATAATTGCAATCTTTTTATTCTCTGCATACTGTGTTTTTCCTTTTCTCCCCAGTCTTTTCACAGTGGCCATTTTACTAAGAGCAGATTAATCCATCTCCCTTTACCTCCTGGAACTCTGGCACACGTGACTAGGACATGTGACCATGCACATCATCTCAGGGGAGGAAAATGCCTTTCCCTGAGATCTTGCGAGATTACAGATGGGATTTTCCAGCACTGCTCTGCTGATGTAACCTTCCCAGGATGCAACGCCTGGGCACAGATTACATCACTTTTGCCAAAGAGGACCAGGAAGTAGAAAACAAGAAATTGTAAGTAAATTGAAAATATGTTTGTTTAACTAATGAATGTAAGATGATTTTATATCAGGATGCAGAGCTGTATGCTGATGTGATTTTTAGTCAAAGGGGGTAAAGGTCCACTGAGTGTTGAGTCACCTACTGGCTGCTTGGGGACTCCAATGGTGAGAATATTTGTTTTCTTTATAGTGTGCTTGGGGACTCCAATGGTGAGAATATTTGTTTTCTTTATAGTGTTCCTATCTGCCTTGGCGCTTGGGGTGTTCCAACCCCCATGTTGCATTTTCCATAATATGAAATAGATTAAAAGCCCCTTAGGAACAGTGGAAGCTCCAGCCGCACAAAATGTGCGGAACTGGGAACTGAAGTGCAGAATCTGAACATTGACAAACAAACTTTAACTCTCCAGTATCTGCCAAACCCTGAAATATCAATTTTGGGAGGACTGAAGCTTTTAAGAAGGGATGCACCAATACCGTTTTTATGGTATTGAATACGAGTACTGATATTTTTTTTTGTGGTAGTTGCCAATACCTTATACCGTTCCCGGAAGTCCCATTAAGGAAGCCGGGCGGCGTGTAATGCTCGCTGACCGGCTTCCTGATTAGCCGTAAAGTCGGCTCCATGCTGCCTCGTCACCAGGTGACGAGGCAGCATGGAGCCGGCTTCACGGCCAATCAGGAAGCCTGACAGCGTGTAATGACTTGCTGCCCTGCTTCCTGATACCGGAAGTTCTGGTATCGGGATAAGTATCGGGAGCATTTGGGCGAGTACATGTATTTCCAGAATACCTGCAAGTGCCCCTCAATAGTACTCACAAGATCCCTGCCAGTACTTTTACTGGCACTCACTAAATGCTGGCCGGTATTTCCAATAGTAGTCACAGAATTCCCTGAAACACCAGATCCAGAGGGGTGTTTAAGTATTAGCTCTGGAAGTGGCTGGTGCTGTGTCTTTAAACCAGCTATGCTGTTTTGTCCCAAGAGCTATAATACTAAAGCCTGTTCCTGTATTGCTGACCCAGGCCGCCTGACCACTCTCTACTTGCTGCCTGCCTTGACTCCTTCCTGGACCGCACTATGCTCTCATCTCCTACTGACTGCTTGTTACCAACTTGAATGCCTGACCACCTTCTACTTGGCAACTGATTTGACCCCTGCCTGGACCCAACTACGCTCTTGCCTGCTGTCTTGTCTACTGCTTATTGGTTGTTGACCTGGGCCGCCTGACCATTCTCTGGTTATTGCCTGCCAAGACCCCTGTTTGATCCAGACCACACTCTGGCCTACTGCCCCATCTATTGTCTCTGCATCATCGCCCATCCCTTGGCAGGGTGATTCTGGGGACGGCGACCTGGTACCAGCCTGCAACAAGACCCCATTTCCACCATCAAGAGTTCTGGCGAAGACCCCGTATTTTGGGAGAGCCCTCATCACCTGTTGGGGGGTGTCAGCCTAGCAATGTCATTAACCCTAAACAACTGGTTACAGCCAGCATACAGCTACTTCCTTTTGCCACAGGTGATAGAACATTATGGGAAGGGAAAAGGAAGAAAAGTGATTCACCAGAGGGAAAAAAGCAGAAAGCAAAAGAGACAGTTGGCAGATTCTGCCAAGTCCAGATGACAGAGTGTCATGCATGTTTGCAGCTAGCATGGAGACTGGCACTTACCCACGTCATACACATTTTTGTTAGCTTTGGATGAGGGTGGCATATCTGAGTGTGGGGCATCTGTATGGACAGGTGAGGTCATTTCCACGTAGCTGTTCTCTGAGTGTTTGGAGTGCTGCGCGGGGGGGTCTGTAATGGTGGCATAAGGGTTCTCACTGCTGCTTAGTGAGCAGGTGCTGGAACTGCACCCTGACTCTTTCAAACAATCTGCAAAAAGCAACAAACACAAGTCAAAAAGAAAATGGGGGACAGATTGGAGCTCAGGAGGCAGCAGGAAAAAACGGGAAGAGGAAAGCCCTGCGGGTAAAAATGATAGATACCAAAAACTGGTAAGTAAGGGGCAACAATATGGATGGAGGCTGTTAGAAGAGGGCTGGGCTGCGGTGCTAACATCTTACAGAGCAAAGCTACACATACAACAAATCTGTAACTGCAGATATCTTAAGTCTAATTCTACTTCTCTGTATTTTATTTTTGAACAATAAATCTTTTCCCCTAGGGTGAGACAAGCTCTTGAAGTATTAACTATGTTCAATGGGAAGTGTTTACATTTTTCTCAGTGCTATGGCAGACATTACATAACTTAATGCCCAACAGTGATGTACTGAATAGGACTGAACCAGAAATGCAAGTACCGCTCTTAATGGATCTATTCACTAACAGTAATTTAAGTAGAATTGGAGAGTAAGAGAGGGGTATAACCCCTGTCATCCTTTTTTGTCACCTGTGTCACCTGTGTCCCATTGGGGGGGATTTTCCTTTACCTGTCAGGTAACTAGAAATGGAAGTGAGAGAAAATCCCTCCAACGAGAGGGAAACCCCTGGTTGTCAGCAGGGACCCCATTGGTAGATTTCACATCTATTCCTGCTCTGATGACAACCCAACATTTGGGATTTTCCTTAACTTACATCGATAACAGTCACCAGGACAAATAGAGAGGGTGAATCTCCCTAACAGGGACACAGACAGCAATACAAACCTGACAAAAGTTCTAATCCCTCTCCACTCTATCCAAAACTAAAAGAAAAGTTTTGGTTTCAGTTGCACTTTTTAAAATCAATTTTGTTAAAGGAAAACACGAGAACCAAGTTTTTTTCTTGAGTTGCATTTTAACAGAGCAATTATTTGTCCTAGTGTCTGTACTGTGTCTATAAATTCCCAATAGCATGGAATAAAACTGGTAGAAATCCCAGTGGGAAGCACTGCTGGTAACGGACTGTTACTGGACTCATGATTCATGTATTATATTGTATAATGCATAGGTTCCAACAGTATATTAGTTACAAATGTCGAGGGATTGTGGTATAGCATTGGTTCAGATGTTCTCTCTGGGCCTGCAGGAGGTTTGCAATGTCTGGGGCACAATGGATACTTCAAGACCCAGTACAGGTAACTGATTCTTTTTCAAACTAGACTCATTTGTGTCTTGTTAAATTAGCAAAATGGGCAATGATTGGCTTACTCAACCTCAATAGAATGCACCGATACATTTTTTTGATTGTAATGTATCTTTACATTTCAGAATGCCACTATGTTAAACTCATTCATAATTTTCTGGCTCGATAATTTTATAATTTATCTTATAACATTCCCTGGGTAGAAGTTCAGTTTGTTATAAAAAAACAGATAAAAAGTGTAACTATATGAAATGAGGTATAACTAAAGCTGGCCATTTACCAATAGAAATGTATTTTCGGAACATTCATTCCATTTTCAAATAGTTAATGGGGTCAAATCGACAATCGATTTTGTGTAGCGATGAAAAAAATCGAAGGAGAGGGTTGGAACATTTTTCTCAAACGAGCAAAATTCTAACAGTGAATGTGATTTTCAGAATGGAGAAACTCCATTCTTTCCAAAATTGAATGTTCAAATCAAACAAAATTGCAAATTACATTTGTCAAGTCTCTGATGACATACTGAATATATTATTGAGATATTGAATGTTCTGACAAAACTTTCCATATAACCATCCATATGAAAAATCAACTAATGTGTAACCATGCTTACACTACAGTATGTGTAAAATATTAAACTTAATTGTATCTACGCTGTAATAACTATCCACCAATGTCTTGATGGATATGTTACCAGCTACAGGTACAAACTATCACGTATTATTTACATCTGTATAATAAGCCAAGACAATGACAAATTTAATGGAAGAAGACATATCGTCCTTTTACTGTGAAAAAGACCATTAGCACATAGCACATAGTAGTATTATGTCCCAGCTCTATTCTATAGGTTTATAATGGAAGAGCGTTCTATAAAAGACATCATTAGCCTAATTAGAGTAAACTCGGGGTCTGACACTCACAATCCTTGGTTAAAGAAACCAGAGACGGCTCTATGTTAATGACAACCTCAAAGCACAAACAGCGAGCAAGGGCATTATGCAGCATGCAAAGGATGAGGGATGAGCAAAGGAAAGGATGGGATCCAGCCAAGAGTGGCACACACAGGCAGCAGCAAACAGAGATGTTCTGTGTCTTCCTAACACAACAGCATGACAGTCCAATTGTCTCCCAGCCAAACCACTGGCCCGCATCCATATCCAACATTAACTCAGGCACTGGATACCACTCATAAAGTCACATACGTAATGCATACATTTGCAATGATTAATACAACTAACAAGATATATGTTAAGTATTAATAATGTTTGCATACTTTGATGTATCTATTGATGCCTAGAAATAATATTCATATACAGGGCTGTTATTTAGTATGTTAATAAAATCCACACATGGAATGTACTCCAGGGCACTACAGCCCATGACAGCCCTTCTGCAGGGTCTTATTTCAGCCCTTTCTGCTAGATTCAAGCCTTTCTATGCCTTTTTAAATGGAATATCATAACCGTGGGCTTTCATGCACTGCCATTGCCATCAATTGGCCCTAGAGCAGCGGTTCTCAACCTGTGGGTCGGGACCCCTTTGGGGGTCGAATGACAATTTGCCAGGGGTCGCCGGGAGTCTCCCACTATTAGATAGCTATTAGATTATCATCATTATTATTAATAATAAAAGCTGACACCCTCGGCTTGTGTTATATGGTTTGCCATTTTAGCGGTTACAACAGTGGTTCTCAACCTGTGGGGTCGCTGTGTGATTTCTGCTCGGTGAGAGTCCTCCTCAGCCCTCTCCTAGCGCAGCAGTGTCAGTTCTCCCGCCACGCCGCCAGATGTCGCTGCAGCAGCCGCGTCAACCCTAAATTTTACCGTTGGGGGTCACCACAACTTGGCAAATGTTACCAAGGGGTCCCGGCCCTAGAAAGGTTGAGAACCACTGCCCTAGAGCATGCACTGATGCAACAAAAAATGGACAACGCGTGTCACGCAAGTAGCACCATGTTAAACAATGGCTATCCTGTGTACATGTGTTAAAGTGCATTAAAGTGCATAGGTGTGGCTGGGCCCAGTGGTCTTGCAACATTTTGCTTTCATGCTTAACCCCCAACCCAGAGGATGAGGGTATGCCTCTTTGTCTGCATTATCCCCAGAGACCTTCCTGGCATTAACCATTGACATCCTGATAGCTAGCTGCCTGGTTGTTATGCTGAGTCACCGGATCAGGAGGCCAATCAAGATTTCTGACTTGTTCTATTATGTACCCTGCTTCCCGGTCAGCGACTCAGTAAGTACTGATATTAGTGTCAGCCAGGCAACTAACAATTTCAGATGGAGGTTAGAAATGACAGCCATTATATTTCACCTAGAACAGGTTCCCCTTCAAATAAGCCTGTTATAAGAGAGATACAAGGGCTACTTTTGTGAACTTCTAAAATAATTGGCAATGTAATGGCAGGCAATATACTGTATTTCTCTCAATACATGTTTCCTTTATAGTGTCAACTCTGAAGTACATGTGTTAGGTACTTCATTTACTGGGATGGTTACCTGAAGGTACTTGGTCAATATTTAAGGTAATAAAGAGACAGATAATATAATAAATGTAAAAAACATTGATGTATTGTACTCCCATCACTGAAATCATTGCATCATTTGCACTAGAATTGAATTAAAACTACATTATGCCAACATTAATCTGATATTAGAAGCTGCAAACACAATATATAGATTGTCTTAATGATGTATTAGCCTCCATAAATACATACCTGGGCTCCAGTCCAAAATATAAGCAAGGGCCCCTAAGATCCAGATTTAAGATCCCTGCACCTATTACAGCTAACATGCCCAATCCTTTGCTTCCTATTACTAAGGGCCTGTGTCAATGGGCTTTGATGGGCAAATGCAGCATGCTTTGGAAACACTTCTGAGATCATTCAGAGTTCATTGACGGGTGCAGTTGACCTGCATTTGGCCTACTTCAGCGGCTTATTGTATTCCCAATGACTTGTATAGAGAGAGAAGCAGTTCTAAAGCAATCAAAAGCCCAACAACACTTCCTCTAAAATCCCTTCTTTATCACCCTGCTTCAACACCTAAGCTCCCTCTCCACTACTATAACCCTTCACCAAAGTATGTCCCCTCTCTCCAGTTGAATTAACAACTATCTCCAGGGGGAAAAAAAATCCCTTGCAGTGGGGCTGCTCCTGCACAACAAAGGTTAAATGCTCGCTTAGGTCTAGGGTGTTGGGTAAAGCAGTTTTATTTTGACCACCATTTTGGTGCTCACCTCATCTTCCCTATGCTCCGGCTTCTGGACTGTTCCTTGCCATCCTCACATATAATACAGGGCTATGTGCCTTGCATTGTAATTGGTGATGTCAGCGGGTCTCCAACTGCTGGAGTGTAGGGGGAAAGGGGCTGCGAGGGGAATTTTTTTTTCTTCCTGGAATTCAGTCAAAAACATACTAAAGGTGATCATGATGAAGCAGTCAATTAGATATGGCCAAGTAGGTGCTATGGATATACAAGCAGCAGATACCATGTTGAAGCTGCAACGTCTGCAAACCTGTTACTGGTTCTCTGAACCACAATGAATTTAGAATGCATTCAGCTGGAAGCACTCTTGGAGCCCATAATCTTCCAAGTTGTGTAGATGTCAGATGAGATTAAGTGGCGACAGTCAGGGGCGTATCTGCCGCAAGGTAAACAAGGCATTTGCCCTGGGTGCCACTTTCCAGAGGGCGGCAAAAAAAAAGCTGCCCCCAAACCAGTGAAGCAGAGCCTCACTTGCCATTACCGGTATTGGTTTTGATACTGGGCATTTTCACGAGTACTCTTTGAAGTTTTAGACCT